TTAGCATATTCCCTTCTTATTGGCTGTGGGTACCGCCATCTTTGACCATGGGGCAGTCAGTTAGCATATTCCCTTCTTATTGGCTGTGGGTGCTGCCATCTTTGAGGGTGGGGCAGTCAATTAGCATATTCCCTCTTTATTAGATAGGATTATCTCATATGGGCACAGTTATCTTTTATTATGTCCAAACAACTATATTTGAAAAATTGTCTGTAGAATAACTTTGAGCCTAGGATGGTATCTTCCCCCAGAGAGTATATTTTAATTTGCTTCTATCAACTGCCTGCAGCCACTAGAAATCTGTATCACCTCACTCCATTTTCAGGTGTGGACATGATCTATATATAGCTCATCTGCAGTCCCTGCAAAGGCTTGTGTTCTTCCAGTTTACTCTTATGTCTAGGATGCAGCCCTTTGAAATCAAAACCCAAAGCAAGGTAGTTCACCGAGCCCCAGTTTTTGGACACCAGTTTGCATCCCCCTGTACTGCAGAGGAGTCAGAAGCACAGCTCCACCTCTCAGCCTTCCACTCTGGTGTCAGTAAACACTGTCTGGGGAAAAACTCCAAATATCAGACTCTCCTTCTTAGACTCTGTCTTCCCCTGGATCTGCGCCTGGAGTTTGAAGAGTTCATACGTGGTGCGAGTGTAAAGTCATAGACCAGTGATGGTGAACCTATGACACGCGTGTCAGAGGTAACACGCGAACTCATTTTTTTGGTTGATTTTTCTTTGTTAAATGGCATTTAAATATATAAAATAAATATCAAAAATATAAGTCTTTGTTTTACTATGGTTGCAAATATCAAAAAATTTCTATATGTGACATGGCACCAGAGTTAAGTTAGGGTTTTTCAAAATGGTGACACGCCGAGCTCAAAAGGTTCGCCATCACTGTCATAGACCAACCTTGTTAGCTTCCCTGTTACTTGAAATGAAAACATTGTGCTTTTTTTTTTTTCAGTGTTGAGATGGAGTTTATGTGGAGAAAAACAACACAATGATGTGTGTGTTTTATCAATGAAATCTATTTTTGTAATATTTGATTATCTCTTCTAATTTTAACATTTTATGTTTCCAGTTTATAAACTTTGCTACCAATTTGATGAAAAAATTTAGTTATTAGAGAGTATTGAAAATCTCAAAAGTATGATAATATTCTATAATGTTAACATGTTTAAAGATAACTTGGTTTTTCAACTTTTACCCAAAATTAGTTTCTGTACTAGGATGAATAATTTAGGTTGAAATTACTTGTTGTTTTTAATCATTCTACTGAAGATTTATTTTACCTTATTAAATTATTTCATCCTCTTTCTGTATTGGATTGTAACCTGTTTTCTTATTATAGTGCTTATATTTCTTCAAAGAAAACCACTGTTGACCTATTACTAATTTTGCTTATTGATTTGGTTATTTACATTTAAAAATTATATTGTTTTAAAAGTTGCAAAATGTGATGGTTTAATGATAAATCAGCAAGAATTAATGTTGAAATATAGTTTTTTTCTCTATCCTGATCTAAATGTATAGGTATTTTTCTTTTGTTTCTTTAATAGATAGCAAATAATAAAGATGCACTGAGGAAGACATGGAACCCTAAATTTACGTTAAGAAGTCACTTTGATGGCATTCGAGCACTTGCTTTCCACCCCATTGAGCCTGTTTTGATAACAGCATCAGAAGATCACACATTAAAAATGTGGAATTTACAGAAAACAGCCCCAGCCAAAAAGTGAGAATATTCTACTTTAACTTTATTTGAATATTTTAATTAACAGATTTTCAGCAGAAAAATACTGACTTTATTATTTACTATTGAATTCTCATACATCTCTTCTGTTCTTTCTTCACCATGTCATATAATTTAGAGTGTTTTCCCCTTTATACTCACAGTCTAATACTAGGTTAGAAAACTGACACTTAGGGAGGAATGGTGTGATCTGGTTCCGCAGGAATCCTGATTACAATCCTTATACAGTATTTTAAATGTTTGTCACATTTGGGGAGCCCTTTAAATGTACTGAAAGTTCTCCTATTGCTGTAAATAGGTATAGGCATGTATGATCATCACACTCCACCCCAATCTGTTCCATTGTTTCTAAGCTTTGGACTTTTGGAGTGGAAGGGAGGGAAGGTTAATTGGGAGGGAAGGGGGGACCCTCTTTGGCCTTGTCTTTTTGCCTTGACCCTTTAGGTACTTTCCACACTTTCCATATGTACCAAGATGTCTAGACTGAAAGGCAGTGTTGTTGCCATCGTATAACTGCTAGTCTTGGCCCCCTTGGTTTTTCAGTAGACATGGACAGACATGAGTTGGTGCAAACCCTTTTATCAGTCACCAAGCTAGCCCTAATCTCACTTGTTGGGGTCCTTATTGGAGCTCCTTTCTTCCTTGGGTCACATGGTCTAGAACCCAGCATCTGCCAGCAAAGACCCTTCTATAGTGTCAGGCATTTCTGTTATTAGAAGAGTAGAAATGAATTTCAAATGGAGGAGATTACAGAATTTTTATTATTGGTAGAGGATATCTGTTGCCCTTTTAAAAGAGATTAGTGACAGTCCTGCTGTGAGTCATATATAGACTAGATAAATACTTGATTTATCAGTATTTGTCAGCTGCACCAGATCTTGCTAAAACCAAGTGAATCCTCACTTGGATCAGATAAAAAAATTACTTCTGGTTATAAATTGTGCTCTTTGTCTTTCTGGTTCTTTGGTCACAGTGGGCATCACATTAGACTAGAGCAGGGGTGGGCAAACTTTTTGACTCGAGGGCCACAATGGGTTCTTAAACTGGACCGGAGGGCCGGAACAAAAGCATGGATGGAGTGTTTGTGTGAACTAATATAAATTCAAAGTAAACATCATTACATAAAAGGGT